TCCTGCTGATAACCCAGTGAGTAGTAGGAGGGCCAGCCAGGAGGAAGAAGAGATTAAAAATTGCCTTCCACATTCCAGCGGGGAAATCCTTTGAGCGTCAGTAGGATATTTTGTTGTGTTTTAGTGTTTGCAGTATAAAGCTGGGCTTGGAAAAATCCTGCGTGCTCACAATTGTGTGCTGTGGTTTCCTTTATCTTTATTGTATGGCCATGTTTCAGTCAAATGTTTCAAATGTATCCTATCCTCCTCTCCTCCCTCACCAAGGCAAATCCTCACAGACCCGATCCTTTATTTCTAAAGGAGAAGTACTGTCCCACGCCACTGAAATGCTGGGGCCTTGATAAATTTAGAAGACTCTGCCCTTGGCAGACAGAGAAGTAACATGTCATTCCAGTGATCTTTGCATTCTAGGAAAGCCTAAATCAACATTGCTTGTTTTGCATGTTGCCCTTTAGCAACAGTCCCTCAATTTCCAGTCTAAAGTATTACATGGACCCCCAAAAAATCTTTTGGGTAAAGAAGCCCTTTAGTACTCAAGAGCTGCAGAATGTGAATTGCAGCAGTTGTCAAGTCTGTATTCTGTACTTGTGAGCCAAGAAAAACTGACTTTTTGCTTAAACATGGTTTGGGTGAGTTTGTTTTTTAATTAAATTCTGTGCTTCCTGCTTTTTGATCTTTTGGTGCTGACGTCATTAGCTTCCAGTGACTTGAGAGATTTCTGCACAGCATATGAGATTGATAGCAAAAGCAGAGCAAATAACTGAATAATCAAATTCTTTTTTTTTTTTTTTGAAATGTAGGTGGTCTTAATGAGTGGATGGTACTTCACAGTGAAGACAAATTAAATGATAGGTGTATTGTTGCCCTTTACCTTTTTATTAGCCTTAAATATGTTTGGTTACTGCTACTGAGACGATTGCAGAACCTTAGCACTTAGATGGTGGCATCCCCGTGCTCACTGGTAACTGGTGACAAACAGCTGCACCTTAGCACTAGCCTCCACTGGTCACCAGTGCACTGCATATGCGGCTCCTGTAGGCTGAGCTTTTGTTCGCAAGATATCTCAGAGCTGCAAAACGGCTTTGGGTTTCCTTTAGTTCTGTGGCAGGTCGTTCTGGATTTTATGCCTGAACAGCGTTTTTCTAGCTCAGCTTTGTGGTCGTGTTGTGTTTGCGTAAGTGTACTGTTGTTACACGGAGGCTGAGGATGACTACAGATTAGAGATGAGAAAGGGGGGAGAAGCTCGTTTTCTCTCATGTGTATTTTGTGATTTTATATATTGTTATCTTTCTCTCATCATTGGCTTTTTATAACGGAAATTTAATACTGTTTCCCCAAAATTCATGGTTTGGCACCCAAAAGTAGCACCCTTTTTGGAAAGCGCTGTAGCTGAGCAACTCACACTGCTTCTTCGCTTTTTCTGCCAGCCTAGCAACCAAAGACCTCCTCCCATCAACTGGAGTTCTCTTTCAAGATGAGAGCATCCCCTGTGAGCAATGCAGTTTCCATAGAAATATCAGCAACTGTGTGACTCCAAAGGGCAATTTCTCTCCCCTTACATTGCTCATCCTTGCTCATCCTTGCTGCTCCAGTGTAGCTGAAAGGGTGCAAGAGTGACTCATTTCTAAATATACTTAATATTTATGGTATAGGCAGGACTTCAGATAAGATGATGGGCTCTGATGGAGTTCATTGTAATAGTATCTCTTGCAACAGCCAAGATCCCGGTTTCATTTTTAACTGTAGTGGAACATACCTAGTTTCATTTTTAACTGTAGTGGAATGTACCTTGTTTTGGAGTACCAGATGCTTTTTTAGATTTCTACCTGATTGGGCATGTCCTAAAAAAGTTATTTTTACTCTAGTTAGAGAGAAGTAATTGAAAAAGACTTTGCATGTAGATTGAACAGGAAAAAGAAGGCTTGTTTTCCACTTGATTTAGGTAGCTTTTGTGCTATTTAGTTGATTTTTTTAAAAAAAAAGTAATTAAGGGTAGCTTACTAGATGGTGTCCTGATTCCTCTGTCCATGGTTTCTGCTTTGAAGCTTATGGAGCCCTCTGGACTCCATTTGCACTGTAGATGGCTATTAAAATAGGGTGTGTTTTGTGTCTGCTTGTGTTTTTCCACATTGAAATTGTTGTATTATCCAAAAGGCTTGTCCGAGGAGTTTATGCTGAAAAACTCATTACCTGTGAAGGTAACTTCTCCTGAGAAGTTCCTTAGCTTTGACCTGTAGCCACTCAGACCAATTGGTCAGCACTGCTAAAAATGAATAGTTTTTATACTACTTAGAACAGTTTCCTTTGCAAAACTTTGCAAAATTAATGCCTTACTCGAGATCAATCTCGATGAAATAGTGAAAGTTTTTTAGATTATTACTTTAATGGATAACATTCTTCGTGTGATTGATATATTTTCCTTTTTTCTTTGTTTCAGCTGAACTGGAGTTTGTTCAAATCATCATTATAATTGTGGTTATAACTGTTATGGTGGTAGTGATCATCTGCCTGTTGAATCATTACAAACTGTCGACACGCTCCTTTATCAACCGACAGAGCCAAAGCAGAAGACAGGAAGAAACTCTGCAGACGGTGAGTATGAACCCCGGGCACCAAATTCCTCCTCTTTGTGCTGTTCGGGTTTGCAACAAAGCCTCCTGTGTGGTACAGGTGACTGCTGGAAAAACTTCTGTTGTCACTTTTCGTATTCCCTATAGTTGGGTCTTTTGCTGAGGATGTATTTGTCAGTAGGGAAAAAAAGCAGAATGTAAATTCAAGATATACTAATGTAAATTTAAGAGATACTATCTTCAATTATTTTTAGACCCTTCCATCTTTTGTATAGTATATTTTCACTTGGTATTTTGAGGTTCAGATGTGACGTCCTGTTTGCTGCTGCTGTAATTTGAAGGGGATTGAAGAGGCAGGGAATGGAGATCACCTGCGACATAATTTGAAATATGGGTTGTGACTTTCTGTGTATTTATTAATATCCTGGATTTTTATCACTATTGCTGTTTTATGATATTTGTTTCAGTGAAACAGCAAGTAAATATTAGGAAAATGATCCCTCCAAGGACCTGGAGTGGTTAAGATAGGTTGTTACAGAGCCAAGGGCTTCAGACCAAGTTTCAGTTGGGAATTGTAGAGACTGACCCTAGTCAACCCAGCAGTAAATGAGAACTTTCCTTGTGAGCCAGGAGTTTGCTGGGTGGGATGCACCACTCCCTTTGAGGGTTATCCACAGGGTGTCCCTGACCTTGGTCCCAAGCCTGGGACCCAGGGCTGCAGTGCCAGCAGTATCCTGTGATGTTGCAGGGAGGTCCTTTTCCTGATGTGCTTTTGGATGTCCTTGAAGTGGTGCCCTTGGCCTCTTTACTGACTGCGATGGCCAGGAGACCATTTGTGAGGGTAGTCTTTTGATGTGTTGAAGTCCTGGCAACAGCATTGGATTCACAGCTTCATTTCATTTTGCTGTCAAAAAAAATTGTCTGGTTTTAACTGGAAGGTGTAGTCCCACAATGTTTTTCACCAGCTGTAAGTTCACAATCTCACCTTTCTTTCCATTTTGGTCTTGTGTTTCCTCTGCCTTTGTGCTCCTTTACAGAGGTGATGAGAAGCCTCGGGGCTGATCTGGCTGAACATGAATTGCTTATTTTTTATTTTTCTCATTTTTTCATCTCACAGTTAGATTTTAGCCAGATCGGCAAGTGAAGTGCCTGGGCAGGGGAGGAGATGGGGATGCCTCAGTCCAGCCTGGCAATCTTGGCAATTGGCAGCTCCCTCCTGAAAAATGGCTGTAAAATGGGACGAATGGAGGATCCCTGAAGCTCTCGCTTCAGACATCACCTGCACCGTTTTACTGGAGTGAATACCTCCTACCTTGGAGGAGCTGTCTCCTTAAAGGGGAGGTCACCTCATTCCCTAACACTTTGGTAACGAAGGAGTATTTAGCTCTAATTTGGTTGCAGATGAAACCAGAATTTGTCAAACCTTAACCTTGTGGACTTCAGGGCTGGAAAAATTGGCTGAATTAATTTGAGTGTTGCTTTGAAATGTGCTCTGTAATTTGAGAACCACACTTCTGTCTGAAAAATGTTAGCTATAACTGCCACAGGTTCCTAAAATGAAATAATTTGAGATAAAGGAAATGCATTTTCATCCTCACAAATCTTTCAAAACTGCAGTAAGCTGTCAAATGCGTGAAGTAACTCATCATTTCCTTTGTATGGTTCGTTAGTATTGTCTTGTTATCAGAGCAAATGGCGCATTTTCTGTTGTAAGAGAGGAAACAGCACCTTTTTGTGAAGAAGAGCTTACAGTTTGGTGGTGGGGACCTGCTTTAGTACCCAGAACTGCTCTTAAATAATTTTTGAAACAGTTTCAATCTGATGGCACTCTTGTCAGTAATGATAATCATAGCCAAATGAGCACTTCGTGGGAATTGATTGGTTGGCAAGAACCTATTGCTAATTTTTTTGAAAACTCTCTGATATAGATTTGTCATTGTTACTCATCTGGACTTCTGATAAGCTGAAGCTGTACTTAAAAGAAGGTCATACTTGTGGGGAACAGGACTTTGGAGGTCTCTGAGGTCAGATATCAAATATGTTTGACTTCTCCTTTGTCTGGGGTGTAAGAAGGAAATTGTGATAAAAACTGGTCGTGTGCTGCTTGCAGTGAAAGAAACCTTAAATGCAGCGTGTGCTGCATGAGAGTCAGGAAGCTAAAGCATTTGCTCTGATGTGAAACTGGAAACAGCCAGTCCATTCTCACTGTCTATGGTGCAGTGAGTTGCACAAGGTAAATAGGTAGGACTTTTAAAATATATTTATTTTTGAATGAGGCACGCCTTGTTCTGTGTGCAGATGCTGTTGATACGTGGATTCTCTTCCAAGATTTGTTCCTTTTACTTTTAATGGTATATAGACTCTGAAGAAGATTTACATATTTATTGACTGTTAATGTCTGAAGAAAATATTCTTACTCAGTCCTTCTGTTGGTCCGGAGATGGTGAATGGAAATAGGGTAAGTTTAGCAGTAATATAGGAACTGGCAAGCAGTCAATTTGGGTAGTGAACTATGAAGTGAACGCCCCACTCATGTACCTGAGGTAGCAGACGTGCATCAGGAGGCATAATCCTGGTTTTGCTATTCAGATGGACTTTTTTTCAGTCCTTTGTTACCTTCCATTTTTCTTTTTTTTTTTTTTTAAACTTGTCCGATTCTAGTTGATTATATCTTCCAACAGTGGAGCTGTGGCTGAATTGCGCACATTTTTGGCCCTGTAAAGACCCGCTATCGAACAGATGATCTCCCTTACTGTGGTTGTTCTAGAAAGCATAATAGAAATGAACAGATAAAATACCCACTTTCTTTATTGCCAGCCTTGCACCTGTAAAATTCATGGGGTCAAGACTCCAGAATAATGAAACAAAAGGTATTTACGGATTTCTTTGGCTGAACTTCCTTCATGTTCAAAAACAAACAAACAAAAACCACAAAAAACCCCAAACAAACAAAAAGAACCACACACAAAAATAAAAAAATCCCCCAAACCCACACAAATAAAACCCCCTGAAAATGAAAAAAACAATAAGACAAACACAAAAAAACCCCAAAACAACAAACACAAAAAAAAACCCCAAACAAACCAAGCCAACAAAAAAAGCCCCCCCAAACTAACAAAAAAAAGATTTGGAAGGTGAAAATCCCAATGTCTTCCAAGTCTAGAAATTCAGGTACTAAAAAGAAGATGAAATCACTGGAATCCACAAGTGTTAGTAATACTTAAAGAGCAGAAAAGGGACCGATCCCAGGAAAAAATGTTGCTCTTTAACAACTACTTTTCAGCATACAGTTGTTGATGTTTCTGTTCTGTGTTTTCCTGTGTGACCACCAGTTCATCTTTTGCCTTTTTTCCTTTCCTTCTTTTCATCCCTTCTTGAGTCTCATCTTCCAGTCTCTCCTCTGGTCTCTTTTATTACCTCGGTTGGGCAGAACAACCGTTGCGTGCTCAGAAGTACTGGATGCTTCTGCAGCAACGCTGCTGAGGATGCTGCCTGCACTCCCCTCTCCTAGTCTGAATATCAAAATATTCAAGCCTGTTTTAATGCTAGAAATACGAATTTTGGTGTCGTAGCTGCAGGAGGTGGAGCAATGCTGATTGACAACTGTGTTGGCGTGAGTGATGACCTGAAGTGAGCATGCACTGTACGAATGGTGTTGGTGTCGCAGTGGGTGTAAAATGCTGCAGGTTTCCCCTGCTCGGCTGATCCGGCAGCAGCGTTGGGCTTCACAGGCAGGCGTGAGCCAAGGTGTGCGCTGCCCCTCAGGGGAGTGTGAAGGCTGCAGGGTGTGAAGGGCACCAGGAGCGTGCGTGGGGCCACATCACTAGGATGACAACACCTCTCTGGTGGAAGCAACTGGTGCTACCGACAGTGCCGGGGAGTTTTGGGGCAGAGCCGTGCAGCAGCCTTGAAAGGCCATGTCCATGCGCTGTGTGTGTGTGTGTCTGTGTCTGTGTGTGTCTGTGTCTGTGTGTGTCTGTGTCTGTGTGTGTCTGTGTGTCTGTGTGTGCGCGTGCGCGTGTGTTCCCGGTGCCCTGAGGCGGCTGATGGTATTGACGGGGCGGCCTTGCTGGTAGCCAAAACCACCCTGTTCAGTGTAGGTAGCTGCGGCCGAGTGGCTGCTGGGGCACTCTGCTCTTTGTTGGGATAAAGCGTAGATAAATCTTGCTTTCTGATGATTAACTCCTGGTGTCACCACCAGTGACATCCAGGGGAAGGTTGAGGGAAAAGAGATTAACTAAGTGACTTACAGGGAGGTACTTAATGAGCTTCTGATGTTCCTAAATTGATTTCTTCTCCCAATCCTGGTGGTTTCTGTCTGTGCATCTTTTTCTCTTATGAGATGGATGTTGAAGGAGTACTGAACACTGTAACTGCCCCAGGCCTGCTCCTGGCAGTGAAGTTTCTGCGTCCATCGCACAAGATGCTCACCCTGACCAGCCGCTGCCTCCCAGGACCAAGGGCAGCATTGCTGCTACGGCTGCTCGGTTTGCATTAGGACATTCATAATGTCCAACTTGAATGCCAAGCTCTAGGAGCACAGCTGCAAAAATACTGCCCTCTTTCTTGGAACAGCTATTTCGGAATTAAAAGGGGACATCAGGAGGGTGACAGAAAATACTCCCTAATATTGACAACTCCAGGGATTTGTCGGCAATTTCAAATATTAGTGTTGCCTCTTGGCCTTCTAAATTATTCCCCACCGGTGCTAGCATTATTCCTTCTGTTCCCTGCTGGCAACCCTGGCCCTCTCATTCTCGTTTTCTTACTGACATGTGCAAGAGAAAGAAAATCCCACTGGGAACAAGAACGCTGTCTATAGCTGGGAGACAGTGTGAATGCTGTAGACCACCCTGCTTTGCCAAACTTTTTCTTTGCACCAGGCATCGGTTGGCAGGAGCTGGACATGTGCTGTGTTCTCCTGCCATCTGTGTGAGGGACATGGGCTTGCCTCTCCTCAGGGAGCACTGCCAGGAGGGACAGCATGTGCTGGCTGCTGCTCTTCGAAGTCTACCACATTAA